AAAAATCTAGCTTTTATAAATGCAACGGTATATTCTAGATATGAATGTTAATTAATCTCTAAGAAATATTTTTGAAAAGTAAAAGAATAATTAATTGAAAGAAGCAAAAATGTTATAGTCGAGCAAGGCCGATTATTAAATACCCTACACTATCGCGACCAATACAATTATGCACTCGCTATGATAATAAGAATCCAGAAAAGATTCACTGTTTTCATGCAAAGGCATATTTGTCATAAAAACCCACATATTGGACGATGCTCAAAACATCATATCAGCAAATTAAATTTACTTTTTAAAAATTTTATTTCTCAGTTTCCATCATAGAAGATTAGAAGTTATACTTTTTCTCTAGATAAGAGTTTGCTTTTCATCATAACCTCTATATATGTTAGGGTCTAAAAAATGTACGGACTTTAATCTAAATTCCCATACTATAATTTTTTTTTTTTTTTGCTAAATTTCTACTATGGTCCGCTTTTCATCGTAATATAATAAAAATTAATCATTTTTCTGAAGAGCCTACTGTTCATGAGAAGTAGAGTCCAACAAATCGACTCATTTGGTTCAAATTTCGTTCACTCAATTTTTATGTCAAATTATTATTACGAACAAATTTTTATCATAAAATATTAACAATTAGTCTTTTCGGCATATAGGAGTTCCATGAGAATCTTTATATACGATGACATCCGTAAAGAAGATCTATGAGGTTTCATAATCGGTAAGGTTGTCTTCTTCTTTGTCATTTTACTATTATCGACCAAAATTTCTCCAGGAAATATTGAAAATTAGATCTTATCATATAAGAATTCAATTTTCGTTGGCATGATTATATGATAGGGAGTTCAAACAATTGCCCCAGCGAATGCAAATTTCTCACACCAATTTAGAATGTCGAAATACTTCTATACCGCGAATTTTGTTGAGAAATTTTGAAAATTCTATTTTGTTTTTTATGTAACAACTTTTCGGAATAGGACGTTATATGAGGAGTGATCGAAAGAGTGGACCGATTCGAATCCTTTTTCAATCGCTTTGGTCGATTTAAAAAATGATTCGGAATCGATCGATATAATAAATTGGGAGTCCATCTGAAGTCCTTGGGCGCGTTACATACGTCTACACAAATATAATACAACCTGTACCACAAGTGGTGTATAAGATATAACAAAGGGTTAATTAGGCAAAATGTCATTCGTGCCATACACATATGTCTGTTTGCCATAATTTATTGTGTGTTGTGTTGATAAACGGGAAGGGAACATAGCAGAGATAGTCGCAGTCATTTATTTATATTAATACAAGTAACTTGTTTTAAGTAAATAAATGTATTCCGTTATAAGAACTCATTCCACCAACTATAGGCTGTTTTTTGAATTTTTGTAAGTGTAAAAGTATAAAAACACATAAAAAAAAAGGAACAAGGCACTCGTATTTTTGAATAACGTGACCATTGTTCTTTGAAATAATAACGACTAACCAAAACCGTATTTGAAAGAAGTGTAGGTATTGATCTCAAATAGTTGTTTTATTGTAAAATTAAATTTAAAATTTTTAAAAATTGCGAACTAACCTAATCTAACTTAAAAACAGTTTCAACAATGGTTCTGTCCATCTGATGTCTGTCGATGTAAATTTGTGTCCAAATTACAACAGGGTGCAATCTTTGAGATATTTTGATGAAGTTTGGAAGCCCACCAGAATTCGCCTAAGGGCGAACCCTATTTAAAATAACTGGAATCGGTCACTTTCCACATACGCCTTATTTTGAAAACTTGTTATACGGAAAGAAGATGGAATTTTCAAAAATTTATGCTACGAAACTCGCTGTGTAATCGTATTTCGACATTTTAAATTGGTCTGAAAAATTTAAATCGGCCGGGGCAATTTTTGAACCCCCGTTATATAAGTGTTGCCACAAAATCTGAATTATTTTTTTGCATGGTAAAAAGTTCTAATTTTCAATGCTTCATAGTGAAAATTGCCTCATAAGAGTATAATGACCAAGAAATCGTCCTTATCGAATTTGGACCGCATATAAGGACTCTCAGAAAATATATATCCTTATATGGCTAAAAGGCGTAATTGTTAATGTTTTATAATGAAAATTTGTTAATAATAGCAATTTGACAATAAAATTGAGTGAGCCAAACTTGAACCACATGGGTCTATTTCTTCGAACTCATATCATATAAGATTTCTCATCAATACTAAGCTCTTCAGGAAAAGGTTTAATTTGCAATATTTTATGATGAAAAGTGAACCATAGAATTAATTTAGCAAAAAAATTAACAATAGGAAATTTGGATAATATAGATCTACTTTTTAGACCCGAACATATAAAAGGATTATCATGAAAAGCAAACCCCTAAAACGGAGAAAAAGTATAATTTCTAGTTCTCTATGAAGTAAAGTGAAAACTAATAAAATTGTTGGGTAGTAAATTAAGTTTACTAAATATGGACCGCGTCATATGATGTTTTAGGCATCCTTCAATATGCGAGCTTTGATGAAAAGTATGTCTTTCCATAAAAATAATGGGTAACATTCGATGTACTATTATCAAGACCAGCGAATGACTGTACTAGGCAAAGTTGTGTAGAGTATTTAATAGTTGGCCTTGATCGACTAAAATATTTTGTCTTGTTTAATAAAAACTTAATGAAAAACTCGTTTCAATCGTTTCGTTCGTTCTTGGGCCAAAACATGTCGATGTACAAAATTCCATCAAAATATTGCAAAAATTACGGCCTGTAGGTTGAGCAGCACAAGAAAACAAGACGGATGGACAAGTTTAATGATCCGACTGAAAAGGTGGACGGGTCCTTCGTGAAGTCCTTCTGAATGTTACATATATCCGCACCACCATAAAATGTAAGCAATGGTTATAAAATTGAATTTTTTTGCATTCACCAAATTCTGTCAAATCTGAGAAAAATTTACTTGGAAACAAGATGTACGATACATACGATACGATATACGATCTATATATGGATTGAAAGCATTTTCGTTCTATCTTGCAACTAAGTACCGTAAACTATTTAAGAATGAGCATTAAAAGATTCTCTCTAAGCGGAACAAGCAAAACTCTTTTCGTATTTATATGGCGATGATTGTCAAATTTTGACTTTAACTTTAGCAATATATGAAGGCGATAATAATTATTTGTACAGCATTTGACGCAACCAAAAATTGTAGATAATTTAAAGAACGTCAACGTCAGAATTTATTCACATTGAGCTATATACTCTGATGTTTAAGTATAGCGGCCGTTATCTCTATTATTTTGCAGGCCCAACACTTTTCCAACTAAACATCATGGAAAGTTAAGCTCGTCCCACGTCGATTAAGAGCATAGAGTAAGGTTTTCGTGCCTGTTCTTGCCTATCACAAATCGAGAAACATATGATGAATAAATTATATATATATATATATATATTTCAAATGCATTTCAATATATGATTTGATTATGAATAGGTAGCTTGTCTTTTAGAACTCAGAAACTCAGAATAGATATTAAATAAAATAATAATGATAATAATAAGTTAAGAAATATCCATCGATTTGCGTGACTGTTTAATCGAATAATTTCCGAATTTTCATTATTGGAAAAATAAATAATAATTTATTTATGGATATGAAAAGATAACTCTTGATGCGAACAGGTTGTAAAATACAATTCGGAGCAGCAAAGTATTGCACTTAAGTGCAATTATTGAGAAAAATATTGCAGTGGTGTACATTACCGGTCGTAATTTAACAGTTACGCGTCGTTTGGTCATCAAATCTAATACCCACCCATTGAAGGTTTATTTTTAAGATAAACAAGAAGAATTAAAAGAAAACAGCGAGTAACTGCTAAGGGGAAATCTTGTTGTCTTTCTGTATGTCTGAAAAGTGCTACAAATGGCCGTAAGCTCACCACTTGAAAAGAAAAGCACGATTGGTTTGTATTCAGGACCTAAATGCTAAATGTTCGTAAACTTTTAGATGAACGTGCTGATGCAAATAAATTTTCTTTTCGGCACATACAAGTCATTTTACATATATATGCAGTAACTCAGTGTACACTAAAATGTAACTTCTCTTATACACTTTTTGTTTTTATTTCTTTATGAATTTCTTTTATAAATTTTATTATAAATATACATAATTCTGTGTATATGTATGTATGCGTCAAGGGTAATATTTTATTGCGCTGATGTATTTCTTCTTATAATATTTATGGTTATTGGTTTACTATTATAATTACTTTGGTTGCAAACGAGAAAATCAAAAAAAAAAAAAAAAAAAAAAAAAAAAAAAAAAATTTTAAAAGTTTTAAAAAAAAAAAAAAAAAAAAAAAGAAATTTTAAAAAGGTATTTAATTTAAAAAAAAATTTTTTTAATATTTTATTAATTTTGA